TGTCCATAATGGACACATGGCACCCCACCATTGGAAAGTGTATTGGTGGGCCAACACACTTGGTGGGCCAACACACTTCAATGGTGGGTTGCCATGTGTCCATTATGGACACCATTATGGCACCCCTAACGTACAAGAAGAATTATCCTTTTCTTTTTTTTTTGGTTTTGTTTTGTTTGAGCATTTATTCTGATAGAAAAATGTATTTGGCCTGTTTATTTGTGTCTTGGGTGTTTCTTATTTTTGGGTAAGTTTAGAAAATGCTCAAGCCCTCTTATACTGATTAGTAGTTTTGTGTTCGAGTGACGTCAGATTTTACTTTTAACATGCCTTGCGAGATATTTATAGTGGTTCGTTTAAAAACTAGGGATGTCAACGGGGCGAGTTCGGAGAGGGGCGCCCCTACCCCGCCCCGTCTAAGACGGGGCGGGGCGAGCGGTAGGACCGTTTTTCTGTCCCGTTTATTTTTTTAATAATTTCTTTTTGCTCTAAAAATTTTTCAGTTATACGGTTAAGGAAAAAGATAACTCTACTTCCAAAAATACTTTTTTTTTTTAACGGTTCACGGGGCGGGTTCGGGGGCATCTCCGCCCCGCCAACCCGCTCGGAGCAGGGCGGTTTTTTTTTTGCTTGGCGGGACGGTTTTGTTTTGCCATCTCTATTAAAAACAATAATCTCTATTTGCTCATTTAAACTCTTAGTCACGTCAAATTGCTCATTTGAGCCTTTAGGTGTCAATACCATATTGTTTTAAGTGAGCTTATTATGGGGACTGTCAAGCACATTCGACAAGGATTAAGGGGAACATTTTGAAAGGAGAGCACAAAATTTTTTATGTATAGATGGGCCTTGCTATGGGTACATCACCCCTTACACAAGGAGTGATGTACAGGTAGCATTATTGATGTATACATCATTGTTTACATACTCGAATTAAGTGAGATTCCGCCTTACGTATTGATTATTGTTTACACAACTGGTCATGGTGTAAAAAATGAATTTTCTTTCCTATCGTCACGAACGACAAACTTAACTTTATTCCCGATAAATTTGTGATTGGCTACCTGGGTCCTTTTCACAACTCTTCCCCTTTACAATTTATACAGAGCAGAAAATGAATAAAATTTGGAGGCAAATAAAAAAACAGGTGTGGTATTATATGGATGGCATACAAATTCTGCAACAATATGCTATCCTCTCATAGTTTCCCTTTTGCATCTATAACATTTTTAATGCAACATATGTCACATGTTATTATCTATTTCATCTATTACTTATGTTACAACACACACCTGCAAAAGTATTGACAGGAGACTAAAATTTGATTTTTGCTCTTTAAGACTTTCTTGAATCATCATTGTTAGTCTCGTTTCTATTCTCTTCTTATGGGCATTGTCAAGGATCTTGTAAATATTTCTGGCTGAATCCTAGGAGGAGAAACTGAGGAAGAAATGGAAGCAGATGGTCGAAGGAGAGGCGTACCAATCCTACTCGACGTCTCATTAGCAACTGGGGAATGACCACTGATATCGACAATATGTGGTGGCAACTCGATTTCTAAGCCTGTTCGAGGGACTACTCGAGGACTATCTACCAACTGTTGGTCATCTTCCTCAACTGATAATACTGTACTTGTGTCTGTATGAATAGTTGAATCATCTGCGAAAGTGCCGTGTCTTCTCCTTCTCCTAGCTGCCTTTCCCCATCCGTGAATTGTTTCCCGTATCCTTTGTGGAATTATCGCGGCCTTGTAGTTCGTTCCCATCTAGGCAAAATAATGGACAAAATGGAAAAGATTAAAATTTTCTGGGATTACTACAGCTATACCGAGAACTCAAAATTACAACTTCTTTTTCATTCTTGTCCACATTAGCGTTATCAGAAGGAAACTTATGGACATTCCATTTGCTTTCTAATTTTATGTTCTCGGTTTGTTGTTGTACCTGAGTAACCAGTGCATAGAGTGGCAGGGTGCTATAGCTGCATAAAAACTGTCCCGAAAACCTATGCAAAATAAACTGCAATCTCAGGCTATTGATTATCAAACTCGACATAAATTTATTTTTGCAGACAAATGAAAGGAAATCGTGTTACAGTCTAAAGTTTTTGCATACCCCACAATCAGTCGTAGATATAACAGCAAGTGGTTCTTTATGAAACACGAATTATACCCGAACTGCCACTGCATTAAAAGCGCACCTTTGTCAGAGTTGAATATATGATACTATCACATTCATGAGATGCTTACCAATCTACCCCCAGCTAGAAGGAAAAAAACAAGAAGACGAAGACAAAATCCACCCTTTTTTAGCCTTAAGAATGTATCTCCATTGATCTTTCATACAGCACATTAGTATTTGGGAGAACTCATAGGTTGAGGAAAGCCAGATTTTAAAATTCAAAATGAAAAAAATGTAAAACTTGATAATGTCATCGCCACCCCTTGATGTATCTATTACGAAATTCTGAAACAATCATAAGAACTTCATGGGGAAGGAAGGGAGTACCCAGAACCAAAAGAAAGAAGCAAGCTCAAATGCATTCTGCAAAGTGAACACGGAAAAAGTTAGTAACAATGCATCATAGATGAGATTTGACAGAAAAAGAAGCCTACAAATCAGGATTAGAATTACAATGAAACTGGGCGACCTGGAAAAGGATAAAATGTATCAAGGATAATAATAATTCTGGCTTATTAAACCAAAACAGCTCATCTCGGGGTTTAATCCTTGGTCCAGCAAAAACCCCACTTAGTCCTGCACTCTCCAATGCCAAGGTTGCAATAATATGCTGCAGTTTTGCACCCACAAATAGAACAAGCTGCAGACAAAACATTGTATCAGAGAGGAAAGTGGAAAAATCTTGTCAAAGACACTGGTTTTCTTTTCTTTTATGGTGTAAAGCAATGAACACGACTTAATAGCCTCAAACCATATTCTATTCTATCACTAACGGCAGAATCAGTTTGTCACATTCCTTCTTTCCTTTTCTTTTATAAATTAACCCTGCAAGTGTAATCCATTTCAATCAATTTCTTTAACATTGAATACAGGTCTAAGCACCACACCATCTAGGTCCATTACATAAGTGGGCAGGATACATTTATAAGAGTCCAACCAAGATATGTTATGACAAAATAGAAAATCCTGCTTTTCATTTTCCGTAAATTGTCTCAATTACCTCTTTAATCTTTGACGTGCAGGAGTCGAACTGTCAAATTTAAGGACTGCATACATGTTCACGCTTCTGTCCACTCTCTCTCCCTCCATCTCTAGCTTATACCCCTCTCTGTGCATCTTTTTCTACTTTTATTTTTATATTTGACATATTTATTGTCAATTCCTTTCCATTTTCATGTCAAAACCACTCGTTCACAAATCCTAGTTGTATGCTAATAAGAAAATTTTTATATTCCTACGCCGCATATTAAGGGGTAATATAAGATGTTCAACTAGACAAACTTACAGTGACTGGAATTAGAGCAATCCAGAAGTAGAGATTAGATCCTGCAAGTTATAAACTGCAATCAGCTTCTGAACCTTTCATAATTTTATGAGACACAATGGGTCGGGAAGCAAGAGACTAAAGTATAGGAATATCAGAGCATATAAGCATAATTTTTCCCTTGCTAGTCAATTTATAAAAAAAAAAAACAGAAACAAACTATAGCTTCCAATTCAAAAGATGACGTGCCTTTTACGTTGAACAGCATAAAAGCTACAACAAATCCCCAGAGAGGACCACTGTAAAAGTTCGAGAAAAAAAGAGAAATGTCAGTAAAGCATCTTTAGAAAACCTTACCGGCATGTTTGGTCCATGGGATTAGACAAAACTGGACAGGGTTAAAAAAGAAAAATGAAATAAAATTTTGCCTATTATACTTTGCACTACTGTTCAATATTGTTTATCGAACATTACCTACAAGAAAAGAAATTACGCAACTAGAAAGAATTGGCCTCAAGTGATAAAAGAGATGTCATTTGAGGAGAGAAAATGAAGCTTAAATACAACACAGAGCTTTCACAGTAAAGGGAGATTGAATGACGTTACCTCGGAATCTCTTACAGTTCACTTAGTGCTGGTGTAACAGTCTTAAAACAGTACTACTTTTTTCACTATTCAAGAAATTTTGAAGCTTGAATTCATCCAGTAAGACCGTTATACTTTTCACTCTCTTTAGCCATATATTAACCTAAAAAATAAAATAAGGGACACAACTGGTATTCTGGAAGATATTTTTCCTTACCTAACACCAACTATACGCTGAAATTCTTCTTCCATGGAGCGAACCATATAGCTGTGGAAATCATATTTTGAAGTAAGGTTGTGGTTCTGCCATAAATAAGAAACAAGATATGTAAAGTGTAATTTAACATGGTGTTACCACAATAACTATTCGTCAATAGAAACAACTCTTGTGATATGCAGAGTAAATGAATCAAATCCCTATATAAATAAAATCTTTTAGCATTTTCATAATCACAATGTAGATGGTAGATGCTTCCAACAGGCACATAATAGGAGTACAACTTCCAAAAAAGCTGACAAATAGGTATTTATCTAAACTGCCATATGGTGGCTGATCTGGCAAGGCAGGAAAAGTAAAGCATCAGATATTTATTATAAATAAAAAAAACTCTAATACTGAAAAAGAACCAATATATTCATATTTATATGGCTTATATATCACCATGGAAAACCTAATCCACCAAGTCCTAATGCATATGGCTGCAAATAGAGAGCGATATCAGTCCAATAAGTGAATAAAGTCCGTCAAACTTATAAGTAGTCAATTATAATTGCTTATAGGAAACGGATTATTTGATGTCAATTCTGAGTATCTAAATGATAATAATCGAAAAAATTGTCATCAGCTTAGACAGCATTAGCCCTTTTGCCACTAAATGCCTTGATATGTTGTTTCAAGAGTGCTTCTGAGATGTGAGAAAATTTTCTCAATTAGAGTGCCTCAAATTTCACTTGCAATTCCACTTAATAATAAATAAACAGGAAGCGGAATTTCCCATCAAACAATTACATACTGTGATGAATCCCTTGCGGAGTGAAAGGTAATCTGCCCGGACCACAGAACGCCCAAACTGCCGAAAGAAACAGGTCTGCACAATTAAAGAACAGCAGTTTCAGTATAACATTCACTCAATCATCTTTAAGCTTCAAAGCTCCAAAAGATATTGAACAAGAAGTTCTGGAATTCAAAAAGAAAGGACAATGAAAAGATAGCCATGCAACTGTGTAATTTGGTTGCATATGTCTTGGAACAACAATAATTTTTCGCTATATAAACATAGTCAGGTAGAAGTGAAATTACCACCCAAATGAGGATGCTATGCCTGGCCATAGGAGTTGATGTATGAACCCTAACAAAGGTAGATTGCCTTTGCAGTGTTTTTGCTCTTGTGATTTCTGCAGCAGAAATTAGGTTACTGTCGAGTTTCCTTGGTTCAGACAATTATTAATTACACTAAGTACAACATGTTTTCCCGCCAAAAATGAGCCAGCTTGAGCTCCCCAATACTGATCATCCATGGAGAAATCTAAAAAGCCTCCTAAGGCGTAGGAAATCATGCCTTTCCTGTCTGGTTTATACGGTTATGTTGGGCAATATCTTAAATTTGAACCTAGTTCACTTCAAAAAGAATTGTCATGGTCAAAGTACTAGATATTATAACCTTTAATGTTTAAGTTGATATGGCATCAAGGCCTTTTTTTTAGATATTTTCGCGCTTATAATATAGTCGTATTTCAATGTTGCTTATTAACCACTTACATCATTTTAATTGTCCCTTTATAGCTGAAACAGGGGTTCTAAAGGGATTTTTTTTTTCCAGGTTTGAGAACAAACAAATTTCAATAAGGTTGGATTTCCCAATGATAGTTAACAAGGTTAAACATCATGCCAAAACAGGAGCTGGTCTCAAATTACCTGTTAACGAATTGTGTCTGTCCATGTGAGCCTCATCCTCCCATACTCTCCAACTGTGGATCTGCAAATATAGCGAGCAACAAAAAAACCAGAATAGAGAAGTAAATAAAAAAGAAAAAAGGAGAGAGGAAATGAAAAATGATGGAAAAGATGTGGGCTTGATGAGATAGACTCTTACTAGTTCTTTTATACTTTTGTGTTGTTGCATGGTCTTTGTTAATCACCCTCTTAGTTAGAGACAAAACACTAGTAACATGAGGAGCTTAATGAACACATATTCAGTTTTCTCCTTATCTGTAAGTATTAATGTATGATTTGATATTAATTAATATTTGCAATGAAAACCATCATAGCATTCTACGGTGATTTAGTACTCTCTAGCGTTTACATAATTTCATGAACAATACCAGTCATGTAGACAAACTATTGGTGTGATCCTAGTCATTACAGTATACACAGCCTTTTTAGATTTCAACTTCCAGGTTGACAAATAATCAAGTAGAAAAATAAGCCAATGGAAATGAATTTTGCACACTGAATCACACTGCCAAATAGTCGGTAAAAGACCATAAATTTAAAAGATTCCATTGAAGAAAACTGATATTACCTTAACAATTGCCAACAGCATCGTTAAGCAGCTGTAAGATATATGTGTAATTGCCATGACAAAGATGAAGCGGTGCAGTTGCTCGAGGCCTTCATATGAGACAAATGGTTCATAATTCTGTCAACAAAATAAAATTCAGATTCATTATATTTGAAGCGAAGTTAGAAAGTAAATCAAATCAAAACTTGAATAGGCAAACATAACAATTACTTTTCCAGAAAAATGAAAAATAAAAGATAAATTAACGTGACAGTTGACTTAATAATTAGATCCTACTAGACAATGAAGACAAGCACAAAGAACATTTATTCATCTCATTATTGATTAACCAGTTCTGTTAATTGTTTATTGCAATCCAAATTGAGTAAATAAAAAAATCGAAAGGACATTATTGTCACGTTTCGTGGATAATTGACTTGCCTTCCTGCAGGTGTTCTGATTCAGGCCATTCAACACTCTAAAGGTTCCATTCATATCTTTATTGTCATTTTCCTCCTTGACTTCTTGCATGGTGCATGGAGCAAATGCACTATTATAGAACTTTGACGGTATACAAATATTAGATATAATGCTTGATGTTGCCGTAAGGAGGAGAGAGATGAAGCCAAGAAGCATCAATTCTGTAGATCAATTTCAAATGATACTTCTTTTAATCTGATGATAAGAGTGCGAATCATTTCTTTAACAGTTCACTTAACATAACAAACGCATCTAAAAATAAATAGTACCTTCCTTCATTTTCTCGACTGCTGCCAGCAATGGTTTCCGATCAGTTTTTTTCAACCACTGAAACGACAGGAAATCATTAGCTCATTTAACTTTGTCAAAACTGAATTTTACTTGCTCACATGGATAACTTGAAGAGTGCATAAATAATGTTACAACACTCACCAGAATGCATAGAAAAATAAAAGAATTGATATAAAAAGCCACTAAATTCGCTTAGTTAAACTGTTTCTGTATCTCATGAGGTCATGTTTCCAAAAGTAAAGTCAATTGATGCCAAAATTATCAGAAGCCCACCAAAGTCAACTCTACAAATTTCTTATTGATAGGCACAGCAGGAATCCTGGGCATAAGGCGTTTGTGCTTGTAAACCTATAAAGTATATATACAAATCTGGAGTCTTTCAGCATTTTGGTGGTTTAGGTTCTGTATATAAAAAATACTCACTTTTTTTTCTTTTGCTTTGGTTTTTCACTGTGACTTCTGAGGAGATTTATAATTCATAGTAGGTAGGTGTAGAAGTCCACGAAAAGTAAGAGAAAATACAAGAAACGTTAAAAAACCTACAGACCAGCCCTTTTCCAGTCCGTACAACCCACTCTGTATACGTCAATCTATCTAAACATTTAGTTCTACAGTCTACGATTTAAAGTTTGTTCTTCGGGTTCATGGCAATTAGCCTGAATGAGCGAGCAAACAAGTCATCTCTCCATAACTTGTGCATAGATATTTGTGTCACTTGAGTATCCCGTAATCTTATGTCTTATTCATATGAAACAAAGATTTGAACAACCAAGTATACAGGGTCCATCTTCATATTAACAATTCCATTCTTCCCCTTCCCCTTCCCCTCCAGAGACATTTCATAAAGAACTGTCATTGGAATAATAAAATTTTGAATTAAATAAATAACTAACTATTACTCCTCTCAATGAGCAGTACATCACTTCTGGCTTGTTTATTGCATCTATTCTGAGATCAAGACCTTTTATCATGATTTCACCTCTACCCTACCCTACTAATGGTTCTGTGTAGCAGAGAAAGCTGAAACTAATGCTCTAATAAGCAACAAAGGTGGATAATACAAAGTCGTATGTATCACTTTATTGTGAAATGCCAAGCTGGCCAAGTCCTCCATATGTACCTGTAATTCAGAATTTTGATACAAATGGTGGCTTGCTATTGATAATCCAAGACAAAAACGCAGAATGATAAAGCTATTGGGTTATATATCCAATCATAATATTTTTCTTTCTACGAGTTCAGCAACCAAATCGGAAATATATAAGGAAAATCGAAATAAGAAAAATGAAAAGGAAAGGAAATAAGCGATCACTTCTTCATGGTTTCCATGATTCAATTCCAGCAAATTCCTCAAGTTCACAATGATGCTTTTTTGAAATTTCTAGGTTGAATCTCTAAACAATTTTCTAGTTCCACTTCGAAGCTTGTGAATCTGAATAATACATGCTCTTCGTGAGACCATATACAATCAGTGATAATGTGACGGGGAAAATAGTGTTCATAAACAAGCCTAGACACAAGTTGAATAAGACAAACCTCTTTTAAGCAAGCATCTTCAAATCGAATTCTAACTGAAGATAAGGATTCCTAAAGATCAAGCATGAAAAAAATGGACTACTAAAAGAGATCACACCACAAGCAAATGATGGTGAGAAGAAAGAAGTTTAAAAACGGTTAATTTAATTACTTTGACAGCCACCCGGTTTGCCATCCATTGAATCACTTTTTCCATCCTATGATATATCTTTGAACTTCAGTTTCATCAGAGTGGATTATAATCATATATGAAACTCTTATTCCGGTTTATACAAAATCGACCTAGACTGTTTGGGTTCAGAGCAACAAGCAGAGAAATCTGCAATACTGATCACAAAAACTTCAAAAATGCATTGCAGTTTCATCAGCAATCAGAAATATTAAAATTCGGACAAGATAGCATATCGTATTCTGGTTTTTTATCTTTTATCTTTATGAAACAAATACAGCAGGAATCGCCAAAACCACAAACAGAAGCTCATTGAAATTCCAGAACGTGTCACTTACATTACCCAATCGGTGAATTGAACGCTCCACAAGCAGTGAAACAGCAACAAATATAGTCAAAACAGAAGCAACAGACCATGTTGGAGTTAAGGCCAATGACCTCAACTCCTCTGAATCCTCGGGGGGTCCTAATGATTTAGATTCAGACATTTCTCAATAATTACTTCGCCACAAACTTCAAGCTTTCAATTAGACCCTCAATCCTTTCTACTTAAGATAATCTCTGTAGCGTTGCAATGTGGTTATGAACAAAACCCATCATTCTTCAGAATTCATTTAGTATCTGCAGCAAGAAAATTCAAATATAACAACTTTGTTTCAGAAGAAAAGTTCGAAATATATAGTATCCCAAAGAAGGTGCCTCCACACCCACAAAAGGATTGCAAATTCAATAATGCAACGCGTTCTAATTCTTTAATTTTTTTTCCAAAAGTCGGTGACGTTCAAGACGGCCGTAGACTATTGGGGTCAAGAGCATCAGCGCTGACTTCAAGACCCAACCTTTTGGAATCAAATCACAATGGCTTGAAAAAAGGCCTAACAACAAAATGGTTATCTTGGAAACTGATCTATGATATCAGAAAAGCAAGAAAGTTTTCGTTTTAAAAAATAAATAAATAAAGATATCGGCTTTTCTGAGTTAAAAGGTGAAACCCAACTCTGAAAGATTCAAACCTGATACCGATCCGACTCGTTTGGTTTCCAAACCAGCAAATACTCCACTAGAACACCCAATAAGCTTAGCTAACTCCCAGTTACACTAATACGACAATGAGAAACCAACCACAGATGCAGTATCTGAGAAAGAAGTGTAATGAGCTGGACACAGTAACAGGTTTTCGATTTCTTTTCTCGTAATTTCCAAGGAGTAGTTGTTGGTGTTGTTGCATTAAATATTCACACATCAAAAAGCAAAAAAGTCCTCTCTCTCTCTCTTCACGGCCTTGTTTGGTAAACATTATTTTTTCCATTCTCATTCTTCTATTCATTTTCAACCACACATTTTTCAATAAAATAATATTTTTTATCTTATCAATAACTTTTCCTTCATTTTTTACCACACATTCTCCATTAATCTACTACTTAATAATATATTCTTTCAACAGAACGTGTCTCAAACACACTTGAAGTGTTGTACATTTTATATAATATGCGTGTGATTGGTGGGGGCCCTAGCTTTGAGAGACGCGACACACTGAACCTGCGCCAGCTCTGTAGATTTCTTTTACTTTCTGTGTTTCCCCAATATTGGGAGACGAAAATCCTTTAAAGGTGGCATGGTCATACGACGTCGTTTACTTAAGTACTATATTTTTTAATTTTATCTTTTGTCCTATTTGGAGTAAATTAAATTTTGACTTTTCATGTATTTGAGCCACATTATTTTGGAAAAATGTATTTTAGAATAGTAGATTGATGAAGAATACGTGGTTGAAAAAGAAGGAAAATTTATTGATGTGATGAAAAATATTATTTTATTGAAAAATGTGTGGTTGAAAATGAGTAGAAGAATAAAAATGAAAATTTTAGGACCTGTTTGTACCAGATTAAAATCTGATTTTAATCTAATTCAAAGTTAAAACAATCAATACCAATCACGTCTTTCATGGGTCCCACATCTTTTCAACTACACATTTCAAACACTTCTATCACAATTCACTTAAAATCTGATTTTAATTTACATCAAACACCCTCCTAACGTGGCTCGAACATGGGCTTACCAAAATTTTATTAAAAATATAATCAAATTAGTTTTCTTTAACTTTTTTTTTTTTTTCATTTCTTTATATATTGCTTCAAAATAACTAAATAGTTATCCTCTAGCCTGAAAATATCGAAAAATCTAGAATAGTGAAAGCATATCTATCTTCGAGGAAAGAGACATTAATTATATAGTAATATTTGAAAATAAATATCTTCTAGTTATGGATGGAGATTATTGATTTGAAATTAAACCATCCATTTTGAATTGTAACTTGATAGGATCAGTTGCTATGGAATTGAGTAGTGTCATGTGTGGTAAGCATTATTAGAAAATGTTTCATAGTTGATGACTAAACACGAACTCACTAAGGCCCTGTTTGTTTGGAATTCTCAAAATTTTACAGTAAATCAATTTTCATTTTCAACCACATATTTCCCATCATATCACTATTTTAAATCAATTCTTCCCCCAAAAATCTTTCACAAACAAGCACTGAAGCACTACATATATTATTTACGAGCTTTTGAAACTTACTGCTCAACCACTAATTAAGAATAGCATTATCGATTGTCGTGCGAAACTATGAATCATCAACATCTATCAAATTGTATCTCGAGGTCAAACTATGATTAGTTAAACCTAAAAATATAATTGATCGTACTTTCTCTAGCTTAGCTCAGCATCATCGACATAGTGTATTCTGATGAGTCTTGAATTCTGCTGAACTTCGTACTCGACGTGGCTATGGTTGGTCGAACACCTATTTTATCCTACCTTCTCCAATATGGATCCGATTATAACGGCATAATGTATTCAAATGTGGAGCAGACGACCAAGCCTACTAGCCTAGTCACAAGTAACCGAAACTAAGTCCCCAACCTCTGTTAGGATTCGGTCTTGGCATGGCTTAGGATCGGTCGAACACTAGTGTCATCATCTAACCATCTATAGCATAAACTAACCAATAACTATCACTATCTAAATAGTCCATTTATCTACCCTCAACGCATGCTTGGCTAAGCTTTAAAAGATGAAGTTATTTCTAACTCGTTTTGAAGTTTTTTTTTTTTTAAAGGTTAAAAAAGTAATTCTTACTCTTACGATTAAAATAAGTTTCCAATAGTGTCTCTATTAATTATGACCATTTTATATAGAGAGAATGTGGACCCACAAAAATGATGCTCACGAAGTACAAGGAATTAACTAAGGTTAGATCATATTATAAGAACATGTTTTCTCACAGATCTTGTAATCAGCATCGTGTGTATGAATCTATAAGCAGAAGCCAGCAAAATCCATTTACCAAACGGACTAGTTGATAACAATTTACAATATTTATTTATTTGTTTGTTTTCTTGATTTCATTCTAATAAACTAACGGATAACCGTCTCACCACTTCTATATATGTGTGTGAGCTACAACACATATGACATCATCCCATTTTGGAGTACAGAAAACCATAGAGAGAAAGAGAGAGAGTTTTAGAGAGAAAATTATAGTACTCTGAAAAGTTGGCAACCATGTGGATCTTAATTTGGGTATAATACTTTTTTCACTATATTAGCTTTTTGCCTCGTGTATTTGACAAAAAAAAGTTTAAAAAATTATTTGGAATTAGTTAGTGAATAATTTGGATTTGACTTGGCATGTGAAACTAGGCAATAAATGATGTTTTGCACATAAAACTTAAATAGAAAAAAATGGTAAATTGTTAGAAGAATGTAGCGCGACAAGAATCTGTCAAGACCTAAGCTAGAGGTCGAGTAATAAGATATCCGTGCTTGTTATAGAGGAAGTTGTCGAAGTTAAAGGTTAAGCACAAGTACGTCAAGTTAAAGGTTGAGTTTGTAAAAGTCAAATATTATGGTAACATAATGGTTGAGTTTGTAAAAGTCAAATATTATGGTAACATAATGAACCACGGCAAATTCATTCGCGTAAGTACTTGTAATCAAATAAAATGCTTGGATTAGCTCAATACCTTCATTGGCATTGCAAGTCAAATGCGTCCATGATCACACGCTTTATGAGTATTCACAATTTTTATTAACTTTTCAAATTTCAATCGTATAATTTCATTAATTTTTATCAAAATATGCTATAAATTTTATCAAAAGCTTTGTCGAGCTACCCTGAAAATTTCTCAAATCGTCGAAACACGGTACTAATCTAAAGTCTGATTAGAAACAGTAATGTGAATGAATTCACTGGTCTAATGTTATTTTGCAAATTTTTTAAATGTAGACATTGATAGAAAACACTAAAGTCGAATTCGACAGTAAGTGGTAACGACAAAATGTTGGTAGGTGGGCGTGGGGGTCGGGAAAGAATAGAAAACTATGTTGAGTTATTGCCGCAAATTTAGCCAAGTGATAGTCAAAAGAAATTTGATTGAGGTTGTCGCGGAGAAATTGTAGGGTCGACTGAATGTATAAACAAACAAAAAAAAGTACTCATGAAGACTGGACTATTTGACGAATGGGATCATTTCTCTTCCGTGTTTTGACCTCCATTAAGAAGTTATTCAGAATGGCCCAACACTTTGCCCATTCAGGTCTATGGTCCTTATTTCCCACATTCAGGAGTTCAGCTTAGATGAAAAATGATGCCATCAAAAGATGGTCTCAAATTTGACCATTTCTAATTAGACAAAGAATCAGGAATTTTTATTTTTCACACATTATATTAAGGGATAAAATCTCAAATCGAATAAAGATGAAAATATAGACCAATTTATAAGAGTTTGAGTTACTCCTTTTAATAAGGTTGACTTTTTAATTTGGAACCTCAAATTTTAACATGATATCAGAGTTCATTAAGTTTCAACGAACAATTCGATCTGATTAAAACTCAAAAAAATTGAGCACGTGGATTTCAAGATTGATTTGCTCAAACAAACCACCATCTTGAGGGGGCATGTTAAGGGATAAAATCTCATATCAAATAAAGATGAAAACATAGATCAATTCAAAAGAGTTTGAGTTACTCCTCTTAATAAGGTTGACATTTGAAAATGGAATCACAAATCTTAACACATTAAAAGAGGGGGAAAAATCTTCATTCAGTATCATGGAATTCTCCATTCCCATGTGGGTTTGTCTTTTTTGTATAATTGTTGTATTTGTCATTATCAAGTGTAAAAATCAATCAAATATTTGTATACTAGCAATAATGATAGGCCAATAATTCTTATTATCAATTTCAGTGAATGGAAAGAATATCAAATTAATAAAGAGAAATGCTAAAGGGATGGGGACAGACCAAAAAACAGGGGGGCGAGGTGGTAGCACATCGACCCTTGATTTAAACAGTTACAATTCAGATCAAGGACTGAGATGAAGCCACCTCGGCCCCCAGCCCTGTCCCTTTAGCATTTCTCAATTAATAATTCACTCTAACGACTCTTTGGCAAGTTCGACTATAAAGAATCAAATGGGACACATT